AAAAAAAAGAATGTTTTTAACAGTTGTCCACAGAATATAGCATAAGTGTTTCAGATATATTTGCTCCTTATCACAGTTCAGTTCATGCGTAAATTCTCCATGGTGGCAAATAGCGGAAGCCGTATTGTACAGTATATTTGTGTGCAACTCGCCACACCCGCACATCCAGTCGCACTTGATCGCACATACAAACCCACATGCACACGCGCACACATACAAAAATGCACACAAAAAGGCCAAAAGGGTCTTTCTATTTTGTTGCCACAGTCCTCGTCTCCCTCCCCCAGTCGTCACCGCGTATCCAGCGGGGGTGCTTCAGTCTGACCAGTCGCTTTGAAACCACAAATCTCCCGAAATATGATCAAGAAAGAAAAACATTAAAATAAAAAAAAAATCTGACAAACAGAAAATATGGTGCAGACAAAGGAAAGTAGAAAAGCAAAACACCAGGTGTAAAATGCAGTTGATGAGCAGGTGTTCCCACACTGGGAAACTATCCTGAGTCACTTCAGGTCAGAGTGAAGAGGTCGTCTCTGAGCTACCGAGGATCCAGCAACCAAAACGGGTGTCCAGAAATATGGCCGCCTCCCTTTGACCTTTATTGACCTCCGTCACTCCTTCGACCTTTAGACCGCAGCCCATCGTATTGCCCTCCTCCACCACCCCACCCTTTTCCAGCAAGTGCCCTTTTAGATAACACACCTTCAATATGAAGATGGAGAACAACACACGTGCACAATAAAACAAGTTCTAGCAAGGAAAAAACAAAACAAGGAAACTGTCCTCTCGCTCTCCCGTGGTCTGAAACACTTTTTTTTTTTTTTGCTTTGATTTTCGTTATATGTAAAAACGTTTTCACTTCTTTTTTTTTTATACAAGGGTCTTCCTTCTTTCCTACACGGATCATCCAGCAGAGCTGGGAACAGGAATCAAGGGGAGGGGCTCTTGTGTGAGGATAAGAGTGTGACATTTAAGTGACGGGACTAAGGCCAACTCCACTACAATGCACATGCATGCAAACATCAACTCACTCCAGAGCTGGTGAGGCACGCGTAAGGATATACGGGGGTTTACTATTTCTCCTCTTTCAAAAACACACAAGCTCCGATTGGATGGGGGGGGAGAAAAAACAGAAAACTAACAAAAAAATGCAGAAACAGGAAATGTAAGTGGTAATGAAATAAAGAAACAAAAAAATATTCAGAGGCACTGCAAGCCAGTTTCGTAGTGTCTAATTGGCAGAGATGGGTCAGGCAGCTAGGGTTTTCCAGTGGCAATCTCTGGCACAGTTTCTCCCCCTTTTTCCGTCTGGCTGTCCTTCGACTGCATCGGTTTGCGTGTCTTCTCACTCACACCTGGACAGGAAGTGTTTGGTTCATCTGTAGTCTCATGTCCTGAATGCTACCAAGAATTTTCTTCTGATGGCCAGCCAATGTAACCCCTATCCGCAGCAGGTCCCTGTGAGCGAAGAACAAAAAGGAAACAAACAAAAAAAAGGAAAAATGAGAACAGGTGGCTCAGTTGTGAAAACAAAATAAAGGAAAATAAAATAAATAAAAGGAGGAAAACATCACATGAAGCTGAAGTGCAAATTTCACCGTTTGCCACAAGTGAGCACATACTCGACCAGGTGGGAACGCAACATAGGCCTCACCTTGGCGATGGACCATAAAATGGATTGTGAGAGTGAGGTAACAAAATGGGAGCACTCATCTGAGTGTTAGTCTTAATGCATGATACCTTTGTTACCCAGCAGGTGGGCAAGAGGATGTGAGTCGAGCAGCAGCAATGACAGTTAATGATCAAAGTGCAAACTTCGCTACTGTCTGGTAGGTGGCAGACTTCACAGAGTCTATACCCGTCTGTCACTTGGCGAGAAAAAAAACACGGGAACACGGAAGCAAAAGGTTTTCTTCATCAACAGCAGCCTTTC